GGTCCCTGGGGAGGCGGCCCCTGGGGAGGAGGTCCTTGGGGAGGTGGTCCCTGGGGAGGTGGTCCTTGGGGAGGTGGTCCCTGGGGAGGTGGTCCCTGGAGAGATCTGGGTGGTCTTTGCCCTTGAGGAGGTGGAGGTGGGCCCTGGGGAGGTGGTCCTTGGGGAGGCGGTCCTTGGGGAGGTGGTCCGTGGAGAGATCTGGGTGGCCTTCCCATTTGAGGAGGTGGAGGGGGTCCCTGGGGAGGTGGTCCTTGTGGAGGCGGTCCTTGGGGAGGTGGTCCGTGGAGAGATCTGGGTGGTCTTCCCCCTTCAGGAGGTGGAGGTGGTCCCTCGGGCTTTCCAGCAGGAGGTGGAGGCCTCTGGGGATGGCCTCCTGGTGGGGGTGGTCCTTGTGGCTTTCCTGGAGGAGGTGGGGGACCTTGGGGCTTGTTGCCTTCTTGTGGAGGTGGTCTCTGCTGAGGGCCATCATCCTGGCTTCCACTACCAGCAGGTGGCTTAGGTGGGTGTCCTCCAAAAGGCGGTCTCTGAGGCTTCTCATCTGAGCTCTGGTTTGAGTCTCCTCCGTCTGTGTGAAGTGACACCAGAAGAGCCAAGTTCAGTGATAGAAGAACCTCCTCCCTTTATACCTCTCTATCCTTAGCACACTGTCCCTGTCTCCCAGAACGTGCCTGTCAACTACTAACATCCCTTTTGCTCAAGGCTTTCATAGGCAGAGTTCCTTTCATCCACATCTGGGTCATGAAAAGTCTCATTTCTTTGTGCCTAGGACAAGCATGTCTATTAGAAGTTGGCCAAAAAATAAAGATTTACGAAAAGATCTTTGATATGTTAGAATCCCCAGATGGGGAAAAAATAAAAGGACAAGTAACATCAGTCAAGTGGCCAGTTATGATCCCAGCTGCCTCAATAATTTGCTGACTGAACTCCTGGGCACCGGGCTCCAAGACCCATGTAAAGAAATATAGAGAGTGAAGACAGAGAATGAAAGCCCACACAGGATTCACCGAATAGTGAGGCAAACTTTTATCAGCTACGGTAATGCAGCTGAGTGGGGAAATGTACAAAAATGAGAGCCAGACACTAATTTCTTTGCATTTCCAGCGAAGCCATAGAACTCTGGAGTGGAACGCTGGGGGAGAAGGAAGCAGTTGAGGGGCTGTCAGTATAAGGAGGGGTCAGGATGAGGACGATGCCCATTTGTCTGTCATCTCCCATCAGACACTCCCGGCCTGGGGGAAGGTCAGCCCACTCCTGTTGTCATCTAAGCCAAGCATCTCTGCCATTCAATTTGGTTGCCCTGCTCATGGTCCCAGAGTCAAGGCTGCATGAAGATGGCATGTATCACTGGAGCACTGACATTAATCAATTCCTGAAAGGAAAGTGCTGATAAGAAGACACTGGGGAACTGATCAATTTGTAAGCAGAAAAAGAGAGTCAAAACAGATTGAGAATGAACTGGGATTTACCTGATATTAGGGAGGGAGCTTGTTCCTGGCTGACATCTAGAAGAGAAGCACAGATGATGAGAAAAGTTACATCTGGAATCTTTCAAGACTCACAAGTGTTCTACAGGGAAACGGGACTTCTGACCACACCCATGCATCCCCTAGGTTAACTGGTCAGCCACCATCTGTGAAGCTGCTGGAAGGGGAGGAAGGAGGAAGGTGTAAGGGGAGGCAGGGTTGTTACTCCACAGAGCAACAGCCATGAAGTCGACAAAGAAGCGCCCCTTTTCTTCCTCCCTAGGATCCCTCAAGACTTAATACAAATGTAGTTTACACATGCCAGACACTTCAGTGTGATATTTTGGTATTGTTATGCCCTAATTCTCCTATAAATATATTGCTTATGTTCATATGCTTTCTCAATAGGAGTAATCAGAAGTAATCATTTCAATACAGCCTTACCCATACCACTCCCAGCACATTGAAATGCTGCATGCAGGGGACAGAAAAATGACAATGATTGGCTCTGATATTTCTACATCTCTAGGTAGACAGAGACAGGTGTTTTACCCAATTCTCTGTCTCTGCAGTATCTCTAATGTGTGTTTACCTTCATCATCGATGCTGATCCACCATCAGCAAGGCCACCATCATCCCATCTACTTACTGAGATGACGACAGGATCTTCACAGCTGGACTTCCCTGACTCTGTCTTGCATTCCCCACTGCATCCTTCACAGCACAGTCATATCTCTCTATAAATGCAAATCTGACCTTCTCATTCCCCTGGTACACATTCTTTATTGCATTTTCATTGTATATTAAATAAATTAGAAGCCCTTGGTGTGGAATGATGACACAACAGGTCTCCTGATCCTAGGCATGAAAACTCTGCAGCCCCATCTGTTTTCATTCTCCTCTCTGCCCACTAATTACCACTGTTACCTCCTAAGCCCCAACCAGAGTAACCGCATCTGCTCCCCGGTCTGTTTTACCTTCACTTAAGCTCTGAGCTGAGCTCAGGGCCAGCAGGGCCGCTGACAGCAGAATCAGCAGCATCTTGCAGGAGGTTCTGGAGTTGCCCTCAACTCTGTGATGGGAGAAATGTGGCAGCTCCCTTTATACAGAGGAGCAGAACAATGTCGCCTTTGAGCTTCACACTGGATGGGCCTTACCATGCAGACACTGGGTTCTGCTTTGCTCACTGCAGGTCAGGTGTGTCCCTTATTTCCCTTTGGGACTGTAGCCCAGAGGAATGTGTTGGGTGGATGTTGTTTGTGTCTTATTTCTAAAAGGTACAACTATGAATCGAACAAAGGTTTTAAAGGAACTGTGTCCAAGCAACCAGCACTGTGACATAATTGAACTTCAGATACCATCAGAGTTTCAATCTTTTTGACAAGACTGTTCTCTACTATTCACTGTAGTATTTATTGCTATGTATATGTGTGTGGGCAGCGAAGCTACAGCTAGCAGTGAGGATGGTCAATATCTTTGACTTTTTAAAGAGCCTATATCCATCTGTTGTGATGTGTGTGTACAAATTGTTTCACATTCAGCTACATTTTTGATGTGATGGTGATGGTTTCTGCTATCTGTGAGATGTGTGAGGACAGCACACTCCTGGGCACACAAAGATGACAGAAAGCTGCACCGCAGCCTGTTTAGGCTACACGAATTGTCCAAGCTTCTCTGGATCTCACTCAGCTCAGGCAAGGCTTGGTGTCGTGCAACACAGCAAGGCCAAAATTGTGTGTTGTAAAGTATCTTCAGGGATTATTAATCTGAAATGGACACAGAAACCACCAGGATATTCCTAGACTGAGAAAACTGAACACACAGTTCCTTGAGGGAGCCACACGATGTCATGTCACCAAAATTTCCTTCATGATCTTCCCTTTCTGTAGAACATACCATCAAATTCACCCTCAGGCTTATTTTCTTAGAAATTATTTGAATTCCCACCACTGACAATTAAATGGTCACAATTCTGCATTCAAATAAGGTGTTAGATATCCCCAACAAATGCTCAATTGCATTGTATAGGTTTTCTTGGTTTAGTCAGTATCTGTGTTACCTGTTTTCTCAGATTGTTCTTCCACAAAGAGTACTTTTTCTACAATCTTCTAATATGCATTCCTCTTGATGTTCTTTCTGGTACTTCTTGGTTCATATTTGATTTTCTGAGTCAAGCCCACTATGTATATTTTTCTTCATATATCTGGCTTTTCCCCAACAAGTTTTATAAGGTTTCCTTTATTTAATCTTCTAAGTAACAGGCGGTAGTAGTCGTCACCACCTTTGTTTCATTCTTGCCTGTGTAATTTCACAATAAACGTTGTGTTTCCAAAAGCCCTATCAGAGTCCTGCCATGGTAGCTCTTGTTTCAGCTGCTGATTGTTCTGTTATACCTAGTAAATCCCTGCTCACCAGTTCATGGAATATACAGGCGAGTCAATATCAACAACTGCTATTTACCACTTAGACCTTCAGTGTGTCGCGTGTACTTGTTCACATTTTGTGTACAGCTGGTTTTAATTTGAGGACAGCTTGGTTGGAGGTATGATGAGGGTGGAGAGGATGTGTGACAGTAAATCATAAAGACAGACCTCATGACCACTGTGGATGGGTAGATCCTGGGCTGTGCAGAAGAGGGTCTGGGCTGGCCCTTCAGAAGGGTTACAGGTAATAGCACAGGAAGACTTCATAAAATAAAACATTTTGCTACAGTACTACAGGTAACTTTGCCCTAGCAAGAGAACCAGGAAGATTGCTATTTTCCCTGGCATAAATACAGGCATACTTGAAGGGGAAATGCATTATTAATTGGCAATTCTTCTCTGGCTCAGTAGGAAGTGAATTGGTTCTAGCTGGGCTTCATGAACTTTATCTTAGGCAGAGAATAGTTGCGTGGGCCAGCAGGTCCCACTGTATTATTGAGATTTGTGTCTCTGGTCTCACCAGACACTTTTTTGCATAGGAAATGGAGATGAGCAATCCTGCCTAGGTGGCTTAAGTTGGACCATCAGGTAACAAAGGAATGTCAGAGACAAGGAGCAGCAAAGAGGCCAAGCCAACATTGCCTGATTACGTGGCCAACTGAGGTTGCTGCCCATCTGATGCAAGGCTGACTTGACATTGGAGGAGAGAACAGGAAGAGAACAGGTAATGCCCCTAAAGGTCTCTCACCTCAGGCCCTTTTTCTGACCTTCTCAATGTCAGCAGTGAGTGAAGTGTATCAAGAAAGGATAAATATCAGCTATGCACTCCAGACACAACAAAAACAGAAGTGATGGAAGAACTGAAAGGACAGTGTCTGTGAGTGAGGGTGGGTGGAAGGGAGAAGCAGGACTGCAGCAGGCGCTTGGGCACCTAGAGGTGAGTGGCAGCCCTCAGCACTCCACTTGCCTTCTACTATGGATGTTCATATTCTGAGATCCTGATGAAACAGTGTTCAACATATGAAATTTTAGAAAACACAGCTCAGCTCTCGTAAGAGCTCCCACCTTTTCTAAGTCATTAACAGGCGTTTAGTGGTTCAGAAATCCTCACTCCCCTCAGGCACTGACCATTAGCAAATTGAGTTGCCTCCACTTTCAATAGGCATCCCAAACAGAATCACTTGCATCATCTTTACAAAACAATGATAGCTCAGGCCGTGATGCTGTCTCCTGAAGGACGTTCACATCCTCCGCTGCTCTTGGTAACATTCTACCCCAGCACATCCCATGTCAATGCTCCTCACATCAGTCAGAGTGATCATTTAACAGTAGGAATTAGATAATAACACTTTTGTGCTTCAAATTCTCTTAGGGTTTTCTTCTGCCCTTGTAATAAGATCCAAATTTTATGCCTCAGCTCTCTCATACCCACACATCGTTCTCTTTTTGAAGACTAAGAAGCTCTCTGAATGGAACAGAAAGCAGAATCTTCCTCAGCTTACTGTGTTCTTTGGATAAACCATTCTGATCATGCAGTTGTGTTTGAGAATTCAGCTTTGCTTTGACTTGTCTAAAACTTTGGTTACCCTAATTTGATAGTCATCTTTATATTTTTATTTGATATTGATGCTCCCTAAATACATATTTCACAATTATTTGAGCGTGTTTATATTCTTTCCATTTATCCTAGCAAAGACTGATTATAACAGAAAACATTTCTTCAGCATTTACTATATGATATTCAATCTTAGGGAGGTGAGATTATTATTACTTTCTTAATCTTGTAGATAAGGTGACTCTGGTGCATGCCTAGGTTGGCGTAAGAGTTGTAAGTGGAATGGAAGTCAGTCGGTTCTCAGAGCTGAGTTCTTGCCTACTGTGCTCCACTGATTACTTGCTCTTCATTCATTCATTTCTTTACTACAAAGTGAGAGGAAATGAGGTTCAGAAAACAAAATCAACTTTCTCTTAGAATATTTTCAAGGTTACATTTTCCTGAGACTTTTAACAGGAGAGGTGAGAAAAAGTGTATTTTCCTGAATGAACATGTTTGTTTGAAATCACAATCACTTTAAAAAATCTTCTAGTATTCTGCTTTACTCCTCACATTTATGTAAAGATAGTCAGAGGAATTAATTCCTCTCTTTTCTAATTACAAAACCCTGTCAATGTAGATCCTGTATGTACTTCCTTAATCCACGCGACCTGCGTTTTTCTTGGATGGCATATTAGCATTGGCAACATTTGTGTATGCCCTTTTACATGGACTAAATTTGATCCCTATAATCACAATGGATATAAAATTTTAAAAATCGAGAGTGGGTCTGGTTAGAGGGATGTCCAAGAAAAGATAAATTGTATACCATTTACACAGCCTTCAATCTTCTGCCTGAAGATGTCACCTGTGTCCCATTCCCAGAGACAGTGCTCCTTCCTTGGTGATTGGGGCTGTAGAAGGCATTGGTCATCAGACTAAGGTCAAGTGTCTGTAGCCTCAGCTCACCACTGTCATCACAATGTCAGAGTATATTCTTCAACTTTCAGTTATACTTCGTTTAAGTTCATAGAGAAGTGTGCTCACAACTTATAAGAAATACAAAGCAATGTATGTCATCAACATATTTTACTGATGACATACAAAGTCGGTAAGCTGATACATTTAAAAGAGGAATTTTGTCAAAGTGATTAATCAGTGACTCAGGCATTAAACACCTATTCTCTCACATAAGATGTTATCTCTTCTGCTTACGAACCACAAATTATTGCTATATTTTGTTGATTTGAAATGCACGTGTGTGCATATTTATTATCTTGGAAATTGGATGTGTAGCTTATTGCGTTTTTAAAAATTGATCATGATAGAATCATTCATCTAATGTTTTCTTCTTACAGTGGTGCCTTGACATCCTCTCTTGAAGGGATGAGCTCTCTTTTCACCCCCTTGAGCTTGGGTAGAACTTCGTTACTGTCATGACCAATAGATTATATTAGAAGTGATACTTTGTGACTTTTGAGTCCAGATCACAGAAATGCCATGCAATTCCAAATTGTTCTTTATGGAACCTGCCACATGCTGTGAGGAAGCCCATGCTGTGAGATAGAGATTTAAAATTCATTTAAAAATCACTGAATATGTAATTGTCTCTATGCAATATTGAATAATCAAGTTTGCTTTAGTAACCAAATTGCTATCTATATCATATATTATATTTCTACCCATGCATGGCTATATAGCTAAAAATTTATTAAGTATTCCGTTCTACCTTGTATGGTGATGTTTCAGATGCCTTGCTCTTTTAGTCCTTACAATAGCACTTTGAGGGTATTTTGCATTTATGTTCACTGTTCAAAAATAGAAATAAAATCTTAATGTGATTGAGTGACTTTCTCTAAGACATACATTTCACAGGTAACAGCATAAGACAATGCAACAAGACACACAAACACACACACACACACACACACACACAGAGAGAGAGAGAGAGAGAGAGACAAATGAGAGAATGACCTTATTCATGAGAACAATATAAAATATCTAGGACCAAATAGCAAGAAATGCACAGGATTTAGTTGATGAAAAATGACCTAACTTTGATGCAGAATATGCATTAAAATGTATATACATATGAATTTCTGCACAGGAAAATGCAATATTCATATAGGACCA